TGGACCCGTCCTTTACATTTTTATAATCCAGATCCAAACCACACAACTAGAAACAGATAAGTGTACACAGAGTTTTATTTCATGTCTGATCGCTGGGAAGGTGACGGCATATCGCACACAACACAATCATAAAACTTAGGCTTAATAAAAATGCTTCAGCCGTGTGCGGGAGGAGAAGAATGTGGCAAAGCCCGGGACTCCAGCGGGCTTTTCCTCGCTCTGCCAGAGGACAGGACTGTCTGCAGTCCGGGAGCCTGACTGTGGTCTCCTCCAGCCGCTTAGCACGGAGGAAGCCGGGAAGCCGGGAAGCCAGGCCGGCCAGAGGCAGGCTCGTGAGCACAGGCGTGCACAGGGGAGGGAGAAAAGAGACCTCTGTCCATACCCCAGCATTGCAAATCGGGGTGCTGGCCCTGCTGGCATTTAGAGCACCATCACCACTACATGCTCGGCTTCTGGGCCAGCCTCGGGGCTGGGGGGATCACAGCGCTTTCCCACGCTCACAGCGGCGTGGAGACAGCAAGGAGTTAAAATGAAGCCAGGAGCAGCGCGGAGACCCAGCCGCCTCGCCTCAGGGGGAGGTCCCGAGAGCTAAAACCAAAATGCAGGGGACAATCCTCAGACCAACGTCCTCTCTCTCTCCCACGGCCAGGTGAGAGGCAGACTGGGTCACCAGGGGAATTTGCTTTTGGGAGACGGTTTGGGAAGAAGTTCGATTCCACTGGCTGCTTTGTGAGAAAAGGCCCTCGCACAGCAAACTCAAGCGCAGTTGAATTCTGAAACCCAGAATGGTGAGCGATTGAGTTTTTTCCAGTAAGCACACGGAAGGAGGGTTCACTTATTTGATTCAAGCCTGCCTTTAAAGTTTCTTATACTGGGGTCCAAAAGAGACAAGAAAGCCCGAAAGTTCGCTTGATGGAAAAAATTCATTTACTTCAGGAAAGAGAAAACAGGAAGAGCCGCTGCCCAGATTCACCCCAGTGCCTTTTAGTCTGCAGTCTGGTGATTCCCACCTGGTGGCATTACGTGGAGTTTTTCGCCTATGTATATTGTTAAATTCTATGATTAAGCGGGAATGAAAACCGTACCACTTAGAGCTTCATATTCGAAAGTTGTCTCTTTTCCTGTGAATTGATTTGATATTTTAAAAAGCTTTCTTTAAAGACCTGTAAGGAGAAGGTATCCCAAAGCTGGCAGCCATTGTAAATTCAAATGATTTCTGTGTCTTAAAGAATATTGCGGGGGAGCAATGATGTGAATTTTCATAACAGGCTCCGCCTGAATGAACGCTGACACACCCCGAAACCCCAGCCTGACTCTAGGCTTTTCGCAGGCAATTTCTCTGCCTTCTGTTGAGAACGTGGCCATTTATTTGTCCCAGAACTCCGCTTACCTACAAGAAGCCGCCTCTTCGTGTCTGGAAAGTGATAAAAGGGGGAGAAAATAGGCAGGGTCATGCTAACTACAGTTTGAATTCCGAGGACCCGTGTTTCGTGTGGTTCACCCGTGTTCAGTCAAGTCGTTGTTGTTACAAAGAGAACCTGAAGTGTTGGAACAAGGACTTAACTTCAAATCCAGTCTGTTTGGCGTCATTATTTTTTAAAGCCATTTAGAGCAGACATTTATTGGCGCTAGTAAACTCAGCTGTTGTTAAGAGGGTTCCCCACCCTCTCAGATCCTTAAACCAAAGAGAAAATTCCAGCCTTGCCGGTGCAACACAACCCGGGGACTCAGGCACGACTTCAACAGCGTAGCGGACGCAAGTGTTTATAAAAAGGCATAGATGCTTAGATGCTGTCGCTTAAGAAAATATACTGTTCTTCTTCCTTTCTGGGGGCCAGTCCCCCTCCCTGAGGCCGCTGCTGGGGGCTAAAGGCTATCAGAAACTCCAGACTTTATTTTTGCTTGAACAAACTTCTCCCACCATGCTGCCTTAGTGCGGTCTGAGCAGGACCCACCGCGGGTCGCACAAGGAAGGAGGATTATAAGCAGACGGCAGGAATGTGTAGGGAGCTGCAGTCATAATTTATGACAGGCCCTGCAGGAAGGGGCCTGCAGTACAGTAAATGCGCAATTTGTGACGCCCTCGAGCCAGGAGCCGGCCCAGGCTGGGTCCGCAGACGCCCGGTTCCCACCGCAGCCGGCCTTTGTCCCGGGAAGTCGCCTGACCCCGCCGGCCAGGAACAGTGGCGTTCTCGGCGCGTCTGGCTGATAAGGCCTTTGTGACACCGGGGACAGGCTGTAAAAACGCAGCCGGCTTTTGTCTGCACCTCAGCGCCGCTGGCAAGGGCGGGGCCTGCGACTTCGGAAAAGTTTGCGCGGATTCCCGTTCACCTCTGACCCCCAAAGCAGTTGGAGGCAGGTCGGGGACCCCCGCCCCGCCCCGCCCCGCCCCGCCTCGGGCCCTGCGATCAGCAATAATAACGATTAATTCCGACTGCGGCTCCAAGTTCCGTGGCCAAGGCGCCCTCCTCCTGCAGGTCCCGGGCCAGGGAGGGGGCGCCCGCGGCCCAGCCGCCCTCCCGCCGCGGCGGCTCCAGGGCAGTGTCTGCGCCGGAGGGCAGGGTCTCCCGACACATCTGGTGCCCTCGGAGCCGGAGTGGGGTCCCAGGAGACACGGGGGCCCTCGGATTGGGGGAAGAGGGGGGAAGGGGTTTCCTTCCGCAGCCCCGTGGATCAGAGGAGGGAGGCTTGGCGCCCTCGGAGCTGGGGTGGGGGATCCCTGGAGGACCAGCACCCTTGGGTGGGGGACATCCCAGGAGATCTGGCTGCCCTGGGAGGGTAGGGTGTAGAGAAGGGAGTCTGGGCGGTGTCCTGGGAGTGTCTGTGGGCTTCAGAGAGGGGATGGGTTGGGGGCGGGGTCAGGGGAGTCTCGGAGGCTCTCGGAGGGGGCCAGGCGGAGGATCCAGGAGGGCCGCGCCCAGCCCCCGTCTGCCCACCAGCCCTCTGCCCGCCACTGGAGCGGAGCTGAGCAGCGGGGTGGGCCGGAGGATGCCAGAGGTCTCACATCAGGACCCTCCATGTTGGGGGGGGTGCAGCCTGGAGCCAAGGGGCGGGAGGCCAGGGTCCACATCACCCTCTAACAGGGACCCTTGAGAAGCCTCTGATGCGCCCGCTGACCCTCCTCTCTCCTGCCCAGTGCCCGGGCCAGGCCACCTGCCCCAGGGTCGTCAGCCAGGCCGGACACTCAGCAGCCCCTTCCACCTGCGTCTGCTACAGTGCCACCCGCAGCACGGCTCACAGGGTCACCAGGGCTTTGTCCCAGCTGGCGCTTCTCATCCTGCACTTTGGGTCCAATTTTCTAATACAGTGGCTCAAGTTTCTTTTTCGAAAAAGAGACAATTATTCAGCCACTGTGTGATTTTATTTTTTGATAAGATGATACAAAACTGGGGTCCTAATAACAATGGGTTTAATTGAAGAAGTTACTGTGGCCCAATTTCTCCTCTCCACTTTTACATCTCCTCATAGTTTTAGCAACTTGTGACGTGACGCACCCTAAGGGAACTTCACACACTGCTGAGAGAGGCTGTGCGCCTGCTATCCTCCTGTGTGCAGTTCCTGTCTGGGTGTCTTGGGAGTAACAGACACTGGGCGTTACAGTCATGCTGTGGCTTCTGTGTGTCCTTTGAGAGTTCCTTGGTGTCATTCTGGAGTCAGTTTGGGACTGGCAGACTGTAGTGAAATCCACAATGTGGGGGTCATGGGGAGGAGCATGCAGGGGCCATGCCCAGCTGTCTTGGGGGTGCCAAGCTGTGTCCAGCCACAGACCCCAGCCAGGTCCAGCTGCTGGAGAGCCTGGCCTGACACAGGATGGTCAGTGGGGATGGGAGTGTCACCCACAAGGAGGGCCATGTCCCCTCCATCCCTGGGAGCTCTTCCCTTTCTGAGTCTAGAACCACTCTGTTTTCTTGGAGGAGCCTCAGCCCCAGGTCCCACAGGGGCAGGTGGATTTTCCTTGGGCTTCTCCCCAGCCTCGCAGCCAGTCCTTCGGCCAGGACTGCAGGTCCCTGGAAGCTCCCCAGTTACTGTGATCAGAAGAGAGTCTCAAACACCCACATGTGTGGGGTGGGCAATGATTCTTCCAAGAGAAACACACCTACCACCAGACACTCCCAGACCAAAGACGCAGGGTTTCTGGTGTTGGGGGCACAGCTCACGCCCTGACCCAGGCCTCAGATGGCCCAGCCTCCCCTTTCTGAGCTTCTAATTTTCTTCATCTCGACCACCACTTCCACACCCCAAGACAACCTCCTCTTTTCAGGAGGCCCCTGGCAAGCCACGGTGACACAGCCCCCAACAGCACTGTTCAATGAGTAGAGTTCCAAATGGAGGTCCCCTCGCCCCCAGGGCTTGACCAGGCTGCAGAATCTACCTGAGCCCACCAGTTCGCAAGGGTGTCCTCCATCCCAGACTCTTGCCTGTGGGGTCAGCCTCAAGGCGCCAAGTTGACAGTGGGCACATAGTCCTGCCCACCCCAGCCATCCTGGCTGATGGCATCCCCACTCATGGAAGAACCACAGCCCCGTGTCCTGACCCACTGGCCAGGCTCAGCTCATGGCCACTTTCAGAAACAACCAGATTCACTCCACACCCTGACCTCCCCCTCCCCCACCACCACTGGCAAAGGGTGTCTCACTTACATACACAAAATTGAACAAAAGAAACTTGAGAACCCACCCAGGTGGGCTCTTGGTGGAAGCAGGGCTCTGCTGTGCCCCCAGAACACCCCCAGCTGGGAACTTTGATGCAGATCCTACCTATTTAGTCAGCCACCCCCTTTATGAATATCCTAAAACCCAATAAAGCAAATTAAAAGGGGACGCAATTCCTTCTGCGCATACTCTGCAAAAGTTCCAGAGGAGACCCTCTTGGTGGCAATTAGAGGAAAATCAAGTGCAGGCTGAGCTGCGTCCACAGTGTGAGGGCTGAGTGTGCACTGAGAGGCTCTCTAGACACCAACAAACCACACTCACCCTTTCTCTCTGGTCTCTCCATCCTAGATTTATTATAAAGTCATTAAGGACATTGAGCCAGGTGAGGAGCTGCTGGTGCACGTGAAGGAAGGCGTCTACCCGCTGGGCACAGTGCCGCCCTGCCTGGACGGTAAGACCCCTCCCCCGAACGGGGCCACGGCCCCTGGGAGACCCCAGCCCACCCGAAAGAGGAGCAGACGCCTGGGAGGACCCAGGGCCTCTCATCACCTCAAGCCACCTAATGAGGGCCACGCGGCCCCCAACTGCCGGGTGCCTCCATTTTTGCAGACCCCAGGCCGGCAGAAATTGCCCGCCCCCGCAAAGGCTCAACCTAATGGCTTTCTTGTTCCTCTTCCCTGGGGCACCCAGGAGGTGCACCCAGAATTTAAGAAGGGCTTCGGGCAGTGGGCGAACTGATGCCCAGTGGATTACAGCTTTGCAGTGTTAGGGTCCCAGGTGATTTTTTTAAACTATGTTTTATTATTGCTATTGTTCTTATTAGCAGCAGCAACGGCAGCCTTTGCTTTCCCCGGTACTTAAACGAACAAACACAGAGCCAGTTCTGTAGCTTCGAAGCATTTCTGGCTGCCCCAGAGCTCTCTGTGCTGTGGAAAGATTTTGTTTCATTGAAGAGAGTAGATGATGGCATGTGTGTCTTTCAAAGCAAAATGTGCATCTGTAGCTAAAAGTCCAAGAGAAGCGTGAGGGGAAGTTTCATTCGGCAGAGGGAAAATGCAGGGTCTGAGGTGGGTCTCACAGTGATGCGGAGTTGCCCTGCTCTTCCGGACTGGGCTGTGGGAAGCCTTCCGAATTTCCTTTTCCCTAGATCGGCCAGCCCCTCTCTGTCGAGTAGAGACGGGACAAGTGAGTTTCCCTTTCACCTTCCTCCGCACCCAAGTACAGCTGAGAGGATGCCTGAGAAAATTCCAGCCCCACACAGATGAGCTCTTCCCAGATGAAGGCTCATTCCTCTGTCCCCGGCTGTGTCCTCTGATGGGGGCACAACTCCGTCCATGGAGGGCTGGGAGCAGGGAGCAGCAGGGCAGGGATGGTCACATCATGAAGCCATGTGTCCATTCCCCTACGGGGTCCTGGAACAGCTGGCCAGGAAAGGCTCTGTGGGCAGCGGGGCCCTGGCCCATCGGTTCCATGCCGGTCCCTCTGAGCAGATGGCTCCAGAGTTCGAGCCTAACTGCTTTTCTTTGGGTGAGACCCCATAAGTGAATAGGAACGCAAGCTCCCTCCTGGCCATTTCCGGAGCTGGTGATTCCTGCTGGTGCTGCAGCCTGAAGGGAGGCCGAGTTTTCCTGCTTGCTTCTTGGACCTCCCCTCCAAACACACCAAGGCTTAATGATTAATGCGGTTCACTGCAAGTTTCTCCAAGGAACCACTCTGATTTCACGGTGACGGAATGGTGCTGGAATTAGCAGGAAGGCTTTGAGACCAGACATGGAGAACTCTGCCTTCATTTACCCTTTCCATCACCGAGCGTGGCCCAGCTAGCGGGGTCCTTCCTTGGTGCAGTATCCGTTCATGTCCCTGAGTGTCCGAAAGGAAACGACCACAGAATGACGGTTTAACAAGCGGAAGCCTATCTGCACTGTCCTCTAAAGTTTGGTTTTATTTAGGCCGTCGAGAAAAGAAAAATAAATTGCTGAGATCTGGGTAGCAGGGGGGAAGGCCTCATTTTCCTTAAAATAATTATTGAAAAGATCTATGAATCTCAGATAGCACACAAGAGCTCCAAGAGACAAATCTACTTGACTTAAGGAGAGTGCTTGACTATGGAATTTCATTTGTACAATGAAATTTCTTTCTTCCAAAAGGTTTTTTAAAAACCTTGATTTCTGCTCCCCACCCCCCTCCAGCCCCGATATTAAATAACCTGGGTCTACATTTTCCTAATAATTTATCAAACATCTGTGGGCTAATTGCTTGCCACACATAATAGCCCAACATCAAATATTTGACTTTCCCTCCTCTTTCCTGTCAAGATCATGCCTCCCCAGTAACCGCCTCCCCCACCAGTTAAACTCTGAATCGCACAGAAAGAAAATGCAAAAATGTTCCTCACTAAGATAATTATCATAAAAAATCTTTTATCCCAACCCCAGCTCAATGCAGCCAGCCCCTTATCACTGCAGGAACTTGGAGGAGGCTCTCGAGCTCCTTTGAGCCTCGAGTCTGGTAGATTAGTACATAGACGCCACATAATTGTGAACCCCTCGGCTCTCCGGGGCCATTAGGCACTGATTTATTTTTCTGTTACATTCCTGCTCTGCCATGAAAGTTGCTGATGGAACTTCAGATAGGCAAGCGAGGCGCAGATATGACAAACAAGATGTGAGTTCACCACGGCGTTGGCTCAGCTGGCGTAGGTGACAGGTGGATGCTGTACAGCAGCTCACGCACCCCCGCCAGATGAAGAGTTTCATTTCCGATCACTGTTTTTTGTGCTTTTGTCGGGAGAAGAGGGTTTGGCTGGAGATCACGTTCAGGTAGCGAGGAAGACACAGGAGACCCTTGGGGGCCAGCCCGCTTCGGGAGAACCGAGCCTCTGCCCCGCAGTCCCGGGGCTGGACACATTCCCTCTGCAGAGCTGCGGCTCTGTCAGGAATGCAAGGCCCATTTTCACACAAGTGACTCAGACCATGGGGAAGCCACTTTCAGCTGCATTTGACTTTGTGTTTTGTTTTTACACTTACAATGGAGAGGAAAGAATTCTCTTTCGTGAGAACTTTTTGCTCTTGGGAGAAAATAAAGAAAGTTACTTCCATTCCAATATGCTTTTCTTTTGAGAGAGCCTCCTGATAATTTGCTTTTCCTCTCTCCAGAAGAGGTCAAGAGGAGGCAGTGCATGGGGCACAGAGCGAATGAGCCAGCCAGATCGTGAGATCAGAGATAATAAGATGGGAAACATTATCAGAATAGGTCATGTTCTTTCAGCATTTCTTTAAGGCAGAAGTTTCTTGTGCCGAGAAAGTGAAAATGCCATAAACTATGCCCCCGCTTCCAGCCCCAGGGGTGTATTCGGGGCCGGCCTTACCTGCCTGGAAGACAGCCGGGAGACCCGTCCACACCACTCAGTCAGGGCAGGCCAGGCTCAGGTGTGTCCTGTCCCCGGCCCTGTCCTCTGATGGGGGCCCAGCTCCGTCCGTGGAGGGCTGGGGGCAGGAAGCAGCAGGGCAGGGATGGTCACTGAAGTCCGCTCCATCACGTCCAGGGCACCCTCCAAAGCCATTGGAGTGAGAATCAGACTGGATTCTCACTTGCGATCTAAATTTTTATTTTCATCCCAAATTCTAAATGAGAACTGGAAAAAATAAGTTGGTCAGTAATATGAGTAGGTGGGGCTGGCATTTCTTCTTGTCTTTGTTTTCAAATTTCAACTTCTGTGATTGTTCTTCACTGGGTCCAGAAAGAGTAAAATAAAAGCTGGCATTTCTAACTGAATCACGATGCTGGCTGGAGGCCCCCATCTCAGCCTCCTTCCAGCCCGGGACGTTGGAATCCACCCACAGGCAGCTTCCCGGGTCTGCGGGTTGGCTGTGCTCCGCAGTGGTCTTGGTGCCCAGATCTGCAGGGCTTGTTCCCCAGTGAAAATCCCAATTTCTGAAGACAAGGGAAGGCCTGAGAGGGCGTGACGGTGAGCATCCCTCTGTCACAGGCTCACCTCGCTTTCCCCAAAACCCTCAGTGGGAAATTGGGGCCCTGGCAGCCCTGCTTCCTGGGCCCCAAAACCATGGGCAGGCTTCAGGCCCACCTCTTCCTTGAAAAAGCAACTCAGTCTCGCCCAGCCTCAGTTTGCCAGTTCTGAAGCGGGCATGCGAATACCATCGCCCTTCCCTGGGTGCTCGCAGGTCCGTGCAAGGCTTCAGTGCCCGGATTCTCTTAAGCTCTGAGGACAGGACCTGCCACGTGGGGCTCCCACCAGACCCCAGGGGTCAGCCTTGCCGCCCACATCACTTGCACATTGAGCACTTTCTGAACAATCTGCAGGCCTGAATCACATTTCAAGGTGGCATTTTGTAGACTTCTGGGGTGAGTATTTCTCACCCACCTCCTCCCAGTCTGTGCACCCTATCCAAGGATCCCCCAGTCTGTGCACTGTCCAAGGATCCCTGCTGTCTGAGGATCCCCCCAGTCCATGCTCCCTGTTTGAGGATCCCTCCATCTGAGGATCCCTCCTGGCAGCTCCTAGGTGGGTTTGGTTTGTTCAGCGAGCATCTGGGAAGCTCTGAGTGGCAGCCTTCCCCGGAGAGGTTTGGGACGGAGGCTTCCAAGCCCCAGAGAACAGAGCTGAGGTGTGGACGGCAGTCCTGTGGGAAGTGGACTACGCAGGCTCTGGGCATCCTCTGGCTTTTTTCCCTTCATGATCTTGTTTTCCCCCAAACCAGTGCTTTCCTGAGGTTCAGGTTAGCGAGCAGGACCAGGACACCTGGACACCGGCTGAGAACGAAATCTGTGTTTCATGCATCTTGACCGGCAGTGGTGCCTGCCCACTCACCCCCAGTGCGCACACCCCCGGTGCTCCTCTCAGCCAGGCACCCTTCCCTGTCAGCCAGATACTCACCTCTGTTCAAAGACGGCAGTGAAAATCACATCTGGAGAGCTGGCATCTGTGCCTTGGTTGGCAAGGGTAGGGGGGTGCCATCCAGTATGCCTGCTGTGGTCTCTCAGGGCCAGCACCCTGCTGGAATCCCCACCCGGGCACCTGAGGCTCAAGGAGCCAGGCTCTGAGGACTTGCCAGGGGTGCTGGGGTGGCCCAGGCCAAATAGCAGCATCTCCACCCTTAGGCTCAGGGAAGCTTCCAGTCAGCAAGGAGGTGCCACTTCTGGCAACCCCCGCACTGCCCAGACTGCAAAGCTGCCCACCCTTTCCTTAGGACTCTAAAGGCCTATGACTGTGGTGGTCTCTCCGACACAGGGAGGGCACAGGAAGTGACGGCCCTCTTCCATCTGCCCCCATCCCCTCCTCTCCTCAGCAATCCTTAGGTTCAGGCCTTTGAGCCAACGTTCAGACCAAGTTCATTAAGACTCTGCTCAGCGCTGGGCACTGGGTCAGTCCTTGTGCACATGCATACACACCCAAACACACATTCCCACAAGCACACAAATGCACACACACAGATCACATGCACACACACATCACATGCACACAAACACAAACATGCACGTTAGCATATGCACATTCATATACAAGCATGTGTACGCATATTCACACATGCACAACTGCACACCCATTGGTGCACACACACAGGTCAACACACAATGTGCATGTTCACACACGTTCACACGCACATGTGTGCACATCAAACACACATGCACACATAATACACGGTCACCCATGCACACAAACATATATGTATAATATGCACTTATGCATACATAACACAAATGCACACACATGCAGACAGAAACACATGCATTCACACTATGCACCCACATGAACACACGGGTGCTCACATACCTAAACACAAAGGCATACACAAACCACACATGTGCAGGTATGAAAACGTGCCAGTACACACAAATATTCACACATGTAGGTGCATGCAGAAACACACCCTCACACACATGCACATGCGTACCCATGCAGCCCCACACAAACATGGGTGTAAGTGCACAGACACGCACACACAGTCACACAAAGATGCACAAATGTGGATGCAGATACGCTGATATTCACACTTACATGTGTACACACAACTGCATGCTCACACCCAAGACGCCCCCGTGCACTCACACACTGGTGCACACACCATTGTTCAGTTCATTTGGGAAAGAGCTCAGTGCCAGCGTTCTTTCCAAGCTGGGGGCTGAGGCGTCTTGCGGGGAGGGGCCTCCTGTCTTAGACGGAAGGCTGCGGCCCAGCTGCCGCAGGCAGGGGAGGCGGGGACGGGCCCAGAGCCCCCCACCAGGATGACAGCTCCAGGCCGGTTGTTTGGCTTGGCAAGGCGGTCAGGATGCAGCCTCGTAAACTTAATAATAGCTGCCCCCCTTTTAATTTGTTTGACCTTGACGACAATAATTTATTATATGCACTGGAGCTCTGTCATCGTTTTTCTCCTGATTCATAAACAAAGCACTTGGCCCGGCTTCCTCCTCCACTCCCAAGCTCGGGGCCTTCTCCAGCCCACGGTGGCTGCCTGAGGCACAGGCAGGGCCGGGTATCACTCGGGGCTCCCGCTGAGGCACAGATTCGGGGGTCCTTTGGTGCTGCCCAGGGCTGGGCCCTGGGGACTCCACATGCCTGTTTCCAGGGCAGGCTGGTGGGCCCCAGGATGAACCCTGGCAGGAGGCAGAGCAGGGCTGGCCAGCCTGGGTGCAGGTCCTGGGGCACCGTGGTGAAGGGGCCAGGTCTCCAGAGTCCCCTAGGAGCCCTGGGCTGGGTCTCTGGCTCTCTCACCACCGCCTCGTTCTGTCTCTTGCAGAGGAGCCCACGTTCCGCTGTGACGAGTGTGACGAACTCTTTCAGTCCAAGCTGGACCTGCGGCGCCACAAGAAGTACACGTGCGGCTCGGTGGGGGCTGCGCTCTACGAGGGCCTGGCTGAGGAGCTCAAGCCCGAGGGCCTTGGAGGTGGCAGCGGCCAAGCCCACGAGTGCAAGGACTGTGAGCGGATGTTCCCCAACAAGTACAGGTGCTGCGCCCTCCTCTGAGTCTTCCCCACCTCCCTTCCCCCGCCTTGCCCCCCAACAGGTGGAGACAAAGGGCCCCCTAGTAGGACACACCCTGGGGGATATGCACCCCTGGGGGGACACTGCAGAGCAGGTGCAGGGTCCCGTGGCCAGAGCCGCAGGTGTCCCCTGGCTCTGACCGCAAATGTCCTGGCCCCAGAAATCTACCTCCTAGGCTCGTGGCCCTGCCTACCAGCCCGCTATGGGGAGAAACTAGAAAGGAGAAAAACTCAGGCCAGAGCCGAGACCTGCAGCCACTCAGCCCAAGGCTACTTCTGTAATAAGGTCCTAGACCGGGATGGGGGTGGCAGCACCCACCACTGAGGGATTCATGGCGGCCCCACCCTCCGGACACAGGAACGACTCCCTCTCAGATGGTAGGCAAGAGCGGGAAGGGGTCACCCCTATCCCCAAGACACCAGCCCTGCTCCCCACCGGGTGGCAGCGGCCTGTCCCAGGAGGGGCTTCAGAGACATGAGTGGGCCCACACTGGCCCTCCCCTGCCCTAAGACCAGGCAGGAGCCAGGATCTGGGACCTGGGCGGCCTTAAGGACCTGTGACCCCCTGGAACAACAAGATTCCTGGTCTCTCTGGGGAGTAAAACCAGGACATTCAGTCCAGTGCTGCCAGGAGCTGTGGAGACTTTTCCAGCATGGGCCCCTCCTCCTACCTTTGAGGGTTTCCTCCAGGACAGCCTCACAAAGTCAGAGCAAAGCCCATCAGGCCACTAACCGCCTATGTGATTGCTGGGGATTACCGCCCATCCCCGCGCCGCTCCCTGGGGACGGCAAACCCTCCACCTGGAACAGATGACTGAGAAAATAAGCGTTTGGGCAAATCCCGACTGCGGCCCTTCCCAGTAAACGCCGCTCAAGAGGGTCCGTGTTTTCTTTACATAAACACATAAATCACAATTAACAACAGGGGAAAAGATACAGTCTCCTGATGCTCGGGAACCAGGCGTTTCTGATCTGAATGGATGGCTGGGCCCCGTAATTAACGAGCCGTGATATATCACTGCTTTGCTCATGAAGATTAACGGTCATCCCTGGGACGGGGGAAGCCGGGGGTCCCCCGAGAGCAGGGAATTAGAGCAACTCCTTCATCCAAGTGCAGCGGCCCCTCCGAGCAGCTGTGCTCTGCACCCTTCCGTGTCACCTGGAGACCCCCGAGTGACTCCCGGCCTGCCTCCTTGGTGTGTGCCCAGCACTCAGAGGGGCGTCCTTGGATTTTGGGGACTTGCCCCACTCCTGGGTTCATGCCAGCGTTGAACCCCTTTTTTTCTTAGGCCCAAGCTTAGCCTCAATGTCAGGACCATCTTGAGAGGCACCCGGGGGTGTGGGCCGGGATCCAGCCCTGCCTCCAGCCGCCCTGGGGGTGGTCTTGGGTGAGGGGTAGAACCGTCCAGGTGCCGGCTTCCTCATCTGCTAGGGGAAGGCCACTTCTGCCCCTTACACCCCGGCCATCACAGGGAGGAGGTGGGCAGGGAGACACCAGCATGTGCTCTGTCCCCCGGCAGTGTGGTGGGGGCTCCAAAGGGGCACTGGGAACAAGCTGTGCGGGGTTGGGGTCCCGTCCCGGGCAGAGGGTAGGTAGTTGGGCCCCACAGTAAGCCCCATCCTCTGCACAGCCTGGAGCAGCACATGGTCATCCACACGGAGGAGCGTGAGTACAAATGCGACCAGTGCCCCAAGGCCTTCAACTGGAAGTCCAACCTCATCCGCCACCAGATGTCCCACGACAGCGGCAAACGCTTCGAATGTGAAAACTGCGTGAAGGTAACATGCAGGGCAGCCGCATCTGAACCCCGCCACAGCAGGAGGCTGCAGATGGGCGCCCGCTCCCATGCTCCCTACACCCCCTGGTCCAAATGCAGATGGAGTGCGGCAGAGTGGGTAGGAGGCCCCTGTGGTGGCTCAGGCCCTTCCGTGTTACTAGGAAGGAAAGGAAGTGTCAGGGAAGACTGTGTCCCCCAGGTCAGAAGGATCAGGGCCGAGACCAGAACCCAGGCCCCTCCCGGGCACAGCTCCTGTCCTCCCACCAGTGTGGAAGGAAGAGGCTGCGGGGCTGAGCCTCCACCCCCAGCCCGCCAGGGTCGCAGCGCCACAGCTGAAAGCGCTTTCTGCAGCCCTGTCTCACGCAGCCTCAGTTCAGTCATTGTTCTTGAGGAAAGCAGCTGGGGAGGCTCCGTGGCTCACTTACGGCCATCCAGCGGGTCCTGGCTACAGCAGAGACCTCTCCCTGCTCGGTGCAGACCGCAACGTGGCAAGGGAGACAGGCAGGGCCCTGCTCTCACAGCTGGTTGGTCCGGCAGCCAGAACCAGGCCAAGGCGGGTTCCAGGCAGGGCACGAGCCAACGGCCTCCATCTCCCCAGGTGTTCACGGACCCCAGCAACCTTCAGCGGCACATCCGCTCGCAGCACGTGGGCGCCCGGGCCCACGCCTGTCCCGACTGTGGGAAGACCTTCGCCACGTCCTCCGGCCTCAAGCAGCACAAGCATATCCACAGCACGGTGAAACCTTTCATATGTAAGTGGTCGCCCAGCCTGGCTGCCCGCCCTCCGAGTGCTCGGATACTGTGGGGGTCGGGCTGAGGTGTGCCGTCCCCCAAGGTCTCCCCCACTCCAGGGGACCCCAGTTTGTTCTGAAAACATCTTGGCAGGTTCTGACATCTGTGCCATGTGCAGCCTGTTCCCCAGCAGGCACCCTCCGAGTTTGTCCCTCACTGCTCCCCCTGCCCATCCCGTCCTCCTCCACGGCTCCCTTTGCTTCGCCTCACAGGGGCTGGAGGAGGGCAGCAGGTGATGGGAGGGACCAGGGTCCTGCAGAAGGAGCTGGACCCTCCCTCCCTGTGGTTACTCCCGTCCCGCGAACTCACTCCCCACCCGTGCCGAACTGCAGAACGGCGTGTTTCTGTGCTGCCCTGCATGTGGCAGTCCCAGCAGACGCCCACGGGGATTGTCAGGGTGGTGTTTCTAGGGCGCCCTGTGTGTGCCCAGCGCTGTTCCAGTGCGGGGCCAGCCCTAAATAAAAGAGCAGCCGTCTTTATGGGGCTCCTCGCACACCAACGGGAGAAGACAGGCAAGCCAGATAAGCAAGGCAGCAGGCACGGCTCTGGGTGCAGCGGTGCAGGGTTACAGCCTCACAGGGGGCCGGGCTGGCAGCCTGGCATGGGAGCTGTGCCTGCCTGTTCGATGAGAGGCGTTCCAGCAGAGATGCGAGGAGAGTGAGCCCTGGGCACCTGTGGAGGAGGCTCAGGAGGGAGCTGTGAGCATAGAGGCCCCGAGGCCAGGGTTTGTTTAAGGAGTGAGTGAGGGGAGTGAGAAGAAAGGGCCGGGGGTGGCTCATGCCTGTAATCTCAGGACTTTGGGCAGCCCAGGCAGGACGATCACCTGAGGCCAGGAGTTTAAGACCAGCCTAAGCAACATAGTAAGACCCCATGTCTACCGATTAAAAAAAAAAGTTGTTTAATTAGCCAACCATGTGAGTGTGTGCCTGTGGCCTCAGCTACTCAGGGGGCTAAGGGCAGGAGGATGTCCTGAGCCCAGGAATTCAAGGCTGCAGTAAGCCAAGATCACACTACTACAATCCAGCCTGGGCAACAGAGCAAGACTCTGTCTGTAAAGAAATAAAAATAAATAAGAGAGAGGTAAGATGTCACTGGGGCCGGGTCCCAGGACCCTTGCAGGCCAGTGCAGGGACTTTGACCCTGATTCTCAGTGAAGTCAGAGGCCTCTGAAGCATCCTGTCTGCTGGGCCTTGTGCCGAGTCATCAGTTCACACACACGTTGTGTCAAGTCATCACTTCCCAAGCGTTCTTACGTGGCATCCTCACAAAAGCCTGAGATTGGGGCCCTTCTGTCTCCAGCTGTCACAGGAGGAAAGAGAGGCCACAAGATGTTAAGTGGCTGTGCGCTCAAGGCCAGGCTGTGGAGCCCAAATTTTAGCTCCGGGGGCCCGGCTCCTGGCCCCCGGCTGGGTGATTTGAACCTTCCAGGCTCTGTTGCATCAGCATGGAGAGGAGGGGTGCTGGGAGCTTGGGAACTTGGGCTCAGGTATTCTTGCTGATGTAGGACCACTCAGGCACTGACCACTTGCACAAGAACTGTGCCCGCCAGCCAGCCAGGCCCTGTCAGCACCTGGACTGTGCCTGTCCCACCCACCTCCCAAGCCCCAGCGTCCAACCGTCCTGCTAGGGGTGACTCAGCCCCCAGGCCAACCTGGGCCACATGCCCCCACCAGCTGAGGAGCCAAAGGGAGACGGAGCTCTCCCTGCTGGCCGTTCCACAAGTACCGTTTTCCCATTTGCTGACCACCGATCTCCCAGGAGGAGCCTGCGCACAGTGTGCCCGGCTCTGGCGCCCCGATGCACAGTACCCCTTCCCTCTGGGAGAAGCCAGCACTGAGCAAGCTGGGCAGGAGTCAGGGGCTGGGGTTGGGGGTGACTGCTCCCAGATGCAGGTCAAGTGACTCCCACTGCGAGAGCAGCACCAGTCAGTGCCTCAGATGACAGTGCGGAGTTCTATAGCAAGCTCAGAAGCACAAACATTGGACCTAGATTTAAACGTCCTTGCCCCTCTGGGCGTGCAGACGAGCATTCTAAAGTCCCATTGCATCACATTAATGATGTGTGTTCCAGGAGCTGCAGCACCCTGGGCGGCTGGAGCCTACAGTTCCCACCACGCTGCAAGCTGCTCCCCATCCCTCGTGGAGGGAGTGAGGACAGGGAAGCTCAGCTGGCCCTGCCTGGCCTCAGCGGCTCTTGCACCTCTTGTCCACACTCCTGGCTCACCTTTGTGCCTTGGCTTTTGGCTAAGGGGATAAAGCTTAAAGGAAAACCCCGGAGATGGGCAGATCGGGTTTACAAAGACCTCATTCCCTTAGAAATTAGATCAGATACACGCAACCCAGCCCCAGTATCCCCCAGGCCGCGGCACAGCGTCCTTTGGCGCACCTGTGGAAGGGGGTCTTCAGGCTTGGAGAGGAGGATTTGCAAACAAGCGAGGGAGCCCAAATAGTGTGACCCTTTCCAGGAACGGTCAGTTGCTTGCAGGAGAGGTCACAGTCGTGCAGGCACTCACGGCCAGACTCTGTGTCCACCCGTTGGGTGACACCCCCATGGCACAGGCAGATGGAAGCCCTAAGCCCCCACCTCACTGGCCACACAGACGGACGGGGTGTCATTCCTGGTGATGTCTTTCCCACCAAGGAACTCACCTGTGCACTGGGGTGTGTACACGCAAGTGTGTGTGTGCATAGGTATAAGAGAAAGGGGGGTAGGGAGAGAGGAGAGGAGAACAGGAGAGAGAGGAAGTATATCCGGGAATGAGGTGGACAGGTTCCCACTGGGCACTTTTCAGAAAGGGCCTTTGCTCTAATAAGTGTGTATGTGTGTACGTGTGTGTGGGGGGGCACGTGAGCTGGTGCATGTGTCGGCGTGTGTGAGAGCGTGTGAGTGTGGGCACGTGAGCTGGTGCGTGTGTTGGAATGTGTGAGAGCGTGTGGGCACGTGAGCTGGTGCGTGTTGGCGTGAGAGCGTGTGTGGGCACGTGAGCTGGCACATGTGTCAGCGTGTGTGAGAGTGTGAGTGTGGGCTCCTGAGCTAGTGCGTGTGTGCATGTGTCAGCATGAGACTGTGAGTGTGGGCACATGAGCTGGTGCGTGTGTGCGTGTGTCGGCATGTGTGAGAGTGTGAGTGTGGGTGCGTGAGCTGGTGCATATGTCAGTGTGTGAGAGAGTGTGGGCGCATGAGCTGGTGTGTGTGTCGGCATGTGTGAGATTGTGTAAGTGTGGGCACGTGAGCTGGTGCAAGTGTGTGCGTGTCGGCGCAAGTGAGAGTGTGGTCACGTGAGCTGGTGTGTGTCAGCACATGTGAGTGTGAGTGTAGGTGCGTGAGCTGGTGCATGTGTCAGCACATGTGTGTGGGCGCGTGAGCTGGTCCATGTGTTGACATGTGTGAGAGCGTGAGTGTGAGCACGTGAGCTGGTGTGTGTGTCAGCACATGTGAGAGTGTGTGAGTGTGGTCGCATGAGCTGGTGTGTGTGTCGATGTGTGTGAGAGCGTGAGTGTGGGCACGTGAGCTGGTGCGTGTGTCGGTGTCTGTGAGAGCGTGAGTGTGGGCATGTGAGCTGGTGCGTGTGTCGGTGTGTGTGAGAGCGTGAGTGTGGGCACGTGAGCTGGTGTGTGTGTCGATGTGAGAGCGTGAGTGTGGGCACGTGAGCTGGTGCGTGTGTCGGTGTGTGTGAGTTGTGCAGGATTGAGTGTGAGTGTGCATTCACACAGATACCCTGCGAGGAGAAGAAACTGCTGTCCAGAGCAAGCACCAGCCTGGACCCTTCCCATCTCGGCAGGACCCGGTGGGGCTCCCTCTGCAGGCGCTGGCCCCAGGTCCGGTTCACTGGCTGCCCAGGCCGTCCTCCACCCTTTCAGGTCACTGCCTCCCTTTGCCAGCTCTGAGCCAGCTGAGGCCATCCCCAGGGTTCAGGACCTGCCCCTGCACAGACCCCAGTCTCTCCAGTCGCCTCCTCTTCCCCAGTCCTTCTGCACATCTCCCTACTTAGGGCCCTCCATCAGTGAGGATGGGTGGGAACCAAAGGTCCCTGAGCCCAGGCACAGCCGCTGGCCTGGGAGGCCCCTCCTTGGAGCTGCCCTGGGCCAGAGGCTGCTCAAAGCCAGTCTCCAAGTCAGGATGGCAGCAGGATACAGCCAGGGTGTGCTGGTTTGGCCGGCAGGGCTGAGCGCCTCCCCAGGGGCCAGGAAGGTGACTGAGGGGTATTTACAGACCCTCTCTGTGGAGGGTCACCTGTCCATCAGCCGCCCTCCAGAGAGGGCAGATTTGATAAAACGAGACCAAGTTCTTCTCCCCTCAGCCTTGCAAACGCCCCGCCAGGCTGGACGAGCAGGAGGGTAGAGCGGTTAATATAAATAGATGTTGTGATGAAAGAACATGATAATCTCAGGGGAAAAGCTCCCAGCTGGAATCGAAGGAGATCAGGCCGCCGACCATTTCTGGTGAGCGAGAAGCTTGCTGAAATCATTGTTTCCACTGTGCTGTGTTTAGGAAGCAAATCGTCCTACAGAGAGAGAGACACTCGCCAGGGTGTGTGTGTGTGTGGTGTGTGCGTGTGCGCATGTGTGTGCATGTGTGTGGTGGGTGTGCATGTGTGGTGTGTGTGGTTGTGTGTGGTGAGGGGTGTGTGTGGTGTATGTGTGTAAGTGTGGTGTGTGTGTGGTGTGTGTATGTGCACGTGTGTGTGTGGTGTGGGTGTGTGTGGCGTATGTGTGCATGTGCGTGGTGTGTGGTTGTGTGTGTGGTGTGTGTGGTGTGTGTGGGTGTGTATGTGCGTGTGTGGTGTGTGTGGTGTATGTATGCTATGTATGGTGTGTGGTTGTGTGTGTGGTGTGTGTGTGATGTGTGTGTGTGGTGTATGTGTACATGTGTGTGGTGTGTGTGGGGGTGTGTGGTGTGTGTGTATGTGAGTGTGTGTGGTGTGTGTGTGCGTGTGGGGTTGTGGTTGTGTGTGTGCGTGTGTGTGGAGGGGTGTGCGTGTGTGTGCTGTGTGTGCGTGTGTGGTGTGTGTGTGCATGTGTATGAATGTGGTGTGTGCTTGTGTGTGTGCACGTGTAGATGTGTGTGTGTTCCTCCCTTTCTTCTTAGAAAAACAAGAGGCAAAAGACAAGCTGGCAATTTGGTGACAACCGTTCACAGGCCTTTAGGAAAATGGTCGGAACCCCCAGGCCGCTGGGTCCTGGAGTCTGGCCAGGCCGGCACTGCCCTCTCCTGTTGAGAGAAGATGCTGGCACTCGCCAGCCAGAGCTGGGCACGGCAGCTTCCATTCCAGTCTGAGGAGGTACCCAGTAGCAGGATTTTCACTTTTCTCAAGCAGGGAATAGTCCCTCTGCATGGGGCTCCTGCCCAGGGTGACCTCCTATCCATGTCCACCTTGAGCCATCTCCAAAGGGTGGCCGAGTGCCGCCAGGAGCCCCAAAGTCTGAGCTCCCTGAGTTGGGGCCTCCTGAGAACCTCAGGAACTGTCTGTGTCACCCCAGAGGCTACCTTCTCTGGGGTGCAGGCAGCAGGAACTGGGGCGGAGGGGGAGGCCGGAGGACACCAGGAACACTGTGAACTTCTAGAGAGGAGAAGGCCCAGTCTGCATGGTCAGCATCCTGCCCCCACCCCGCCTAGAACAGCTGCAGAAGTGAAGACTAAAGCAGGGCAGTCCCTGAGCCAGCTTGCCCTGAGTCCACTGATGGGGTGGCAGACACCATCACATGCCTTCGCTTTGCCCGTGCCCCACCCTGGGGAGCAGGCTCGCCTTCCCCAGGGACTTCTGAAAATCTTGGCTCCCAAATTAGCAACACCATGGGCTAGGAGGGTGGGAACAGCAGCCGCAAGCCCATTCTCCAGCAAAGAAGGTGGAGGCACAGCAGGATCTGTACCAACTGACCCCAGGATCTGTTCTGGTCACTGGAGGCCAGCCTTGGGGTGGGCGCATGCACACTCACATATGTTTCCACATGCTCATGTGTGCACATGTATGCACACTCAGACACACACGCTTGCAGAATACACACCTGCCCCCACACACACGGACACTTATGCACACAGACACACATGCACCTGCCTGTATATTTGTGTGTATGCACACACATGTACGCACAGTACACACATATCTGCCCGTGCCCATGCACGTGCACCCAGACTGCTTCCAGCCCCAGCCCCGCCCCTCCAGCGGCTGGGTTTCCCGGCAATTTCATGCGGCATTTTCAGCAGGGTTTCCCGGTCATTTCATGCGGGTTTGTCTTGGCTCCTGCTGATGTTTTAGGTGAGGTCTGCCACAAGTCCTACACGCAGTTCTCCAACCTGTGCCGGCACAAGCGGATGCACGCCGACTGCCGCACGCAGATCAAGTGCAAGGACTGCGGCCAGATGTTCAGCACTACCTCCTCCCTCAACAAGCACCGGCGCTTCTGCGAGGGCAAGAACCATTACACGCCGGGCGGCATCTTCGCCCCGGGCCTGCCCTTGACCCCTAGTCCCATGATGGACAAAACAAAACCCTCCCCCAGCCTCAATCATGCCAGCCTGGGCTTCAACGAGTACTTCCCCTCCAGGCCACACCCGGGGAGCCTGCCCTTCTCCACGGCGCCTCCCGCGTTCCCCGCACTCACCCCCGGCTTCCCGGGCATCTTCCCTCCGTCCTTGTACCCCCGGCCGCCTCTGCTACCTCCCACGCCACTGCTCAAGAGCCCCCTGAACCACACCCAGGACGCCAAGCTCCCCAGCCCCCTGGGGAACCCAGCCCTGCCTCTGGTCTCCGCCGTCAGCAACAGCAGCCAGGGCACGACGGCAGCTGCGGGGCCCGAGGAGAAGTTCGAGAGCCGCCTGGAGGATTCCTGTGTGGAGAAGCTGAAGACCAGGAGCAGCGACATGTCAGACGGCAGTGACTTTGAGGACGTCAACACCACCACGGGGACCGACCTGGACACGACCACGGGGACGGGCTCGGACCTGGACAGCGACGTGGACAGCGACCCCGACAAGGACAAGGGCAAGGGCAAGTCGGCCGAGGGCCAGCCCGAGTTTGGGGGCGGCTTGGCGCCCCCGGGAGCCCCGAACAGCGTGGCCGAGGTGCCTGTCTTCTATTCCCAGCACTCATTCTTCCCGCCGCCTGACGAGCAGCTACTGACGGCAACGGGCGCTGCCGGGGACTCCATCAAGGCCATCGCGTCCATTGCCGAGAAGTACTTTGGCCCCGGCTTCATGGGAATGCAGGAGAAGAAGCTGGGCTCGCTCCCCTACCACTCGGCGTTCCCCTTCCAGTTCCTGCCCAACTTTCCCCACTCCCTCTACCCCTTCACGGACCGAGCCCTCGCCCACAACTTGCTGGTCAAGGCCGAGCCAAAGTCACCCCGGGACGCCCTCAAGGTGGGCGGCCCCAGTGCCGAGTGCCCCTTCGATCTCACCACCAAGCCCAAAGACGTGAAGCCCGTCCTTCCCATGCCCAAGGGCCCCTCGGCACCCGCATCCAGCGAGGAGCAGCCGCTGGACCTGAGCATCGGCAGCCGGGCCCGCGCCAGCCAGAACGGCGGCGGGCGGGAGCCCCGGAAGAACCACATCTACGGGGAACGGAAGCTGGGTGTCGGTGAGGGGCTGCCTCAGGTGTGCCCGGCGCGGATGCCCCAGCAGCCCCCACTCCACTACGCCAAGCCCTCGCCCTTCTTCATGGACCCCATCTACAGGTATTCAGCACCCCAGCCTCACTGGTTCTCCCTGGGGCGGGGCCACGGCAGTGCTGGGCGGGCTCAGTGCATGGTGGTGTCTCTTTCAAGCTCCTCCAAGGTCGTCCCCTGGCCTTTGCTGACTTCAGGAAGATGCCCCTGTTCTTGGGGGGGGTCTGCACCCCTCAGGAGGATGCCTGGCTTGTCTGTTCCTAAGCTAGGTGCCTGGCCCGGGCCGTGTTTGGGAGGCCAGGATGGGTGCTCCCAGACACGTGCGGTTTTCTTGCACTGATGACCACTCAGACATCACACAGCTGGTCTCGAGCCCCTCCTGTCCAGGAACCCCCACCCCCGTCCCAACCCCACCCTTCCCCACCCCTCTCTCCAGCTGTCATCTCTGGTCCAGATCTCCCCAGCCCCCACCTGCAGAAGTCAGAGGGGCCTGGGCTGAGTGCTTCCTGCCCCTCCTGGTGCGCTCCTGCTCCTCCTGGTGCGCTCCTCCCCCTCCTGGTGCACTCCTGCCCCTCCTGGTGCGCTCCTCCCCCTCCTGGTGCGCTCCTACCCCTCCTGGTGCGCTCCTGCCCCTCCTGGTGCGCTCCTGCCCCTGGAGCCACAGAAGCAGGGGGAGTGGGGCGGGGTCGTCTTTCTGGAGGCCCAGGGGAATCAGAGAAGGAGCCAATGGTCCCTGGAGGGGAGAAGGAGGCCGGGAGGAAGCAAGCACTGGAGGGTTTTCTAGTTTTCTAGACCCCAGTGCCCCCTGTCTCTGATGCCCCTCCTGGGGAGAGGCGAGTTTAATGCCACTCCCTAATTTCTGGGCAGGTTTGCCCCTCCCTAGAATGCAGGTGGGTTGGGAGAGTAGGGCCAGGCTTGGGGAGGGGGTCCTAACCCCACCAACACCTCTGCCTGTGCTCTCCGCTTCACCATGTAAGGAGACAGGCAGGCAACCCTGAGCAAGTCCCGTCCGAATAAAGCAAAAGCAGCCAGTCCTAGACATGCTGGGGGTGCTGGGTCTCGGAGCGGGGCGGCAGATTTACCAAAGCGTTCTCAGTGACGGGAAAGAGTTTCCCAAATCTAACTCTCAGACCAGGCAGACAGAGAAGAGCAGGCCGCCTTCAAGAGCCGCCAGGCCAAAGGAGGGCCAGTGGATGGCTCTGCCCGCCGCCTCTGTTTACCACAGGAGATTTGTATTGTGATTCAATGAGCAGGCTTGTCACCGGCATCTGGGGAAGGTTCTGGAGCTGTAACCTCCAGCAGCCCTGGAGGGTGTTTAGACAGGCCCCTGTTCGGGCGCCACAGGAAGCCCCTGGTGACCTCCCCAGGACAGAAACCTGCTGGTCACTCACGTTCATCAGCACACACGGGCAGCACACCCATGTGTGCCAAGGGCTGAGTCAGGGAAGGAGGGGAGGAGGCCTTGAGCCTCCAGTGTGAGCCATGCTGTGCTGTGAGCAGGTCCAGGGACCCCCGTCAGAGTGGTCCCCACTCATGCAGGGCTGACCGGCCAGTTAGCGGGAGGGAGGCTAGGGTGCACAGGGCCTTCAGAGAAGACTCCAGCTGTGTGCACTTAGTACCCAGGACATGCAGGAGTGCTGGCAATGAGGGCTTAGTACCCATGACATGCAGGGGTGCTCACAGTGGGGGCTTAGTACCCAGAACATGCAGGGGTGCTGACAGTGGGGGCTTAGTACCCATGACATGCAGGGGTGCTGGTAGCAGGGGCTTAGTACCCAGAACATGCAGGGGTGCTGACAGTGGGGGCTTAGTACCCAGAACATGCAGGGGTGCTGGCAGCAGGGGCTTAGTACCCATGACATACAGGGGTGCTGGCAGTGGGGGCTTAGTACCCATGACATGCAGGGGTGCTGGCAGCCAGGGGTCTTTGAAGGCCCTCAAGGGGAACTTGGAGGTGTGGGAGGTGTCTGGGAACCACCAAGGAAGATGTTCAGGGGCAAGTGGTAACAGGGAGGGTCCGTCTAGGGGTGCAGGTGGGCTGGACCCCCAACATCCCCAAGGCCCACAGAGGAGTGTGGTCAAAGTTGGGGCAGCCCCAGCGAGGCCCACACCATGACCTTGTGACTGGCCGGGCATATGGACAGGTGGGGTGGGCAGCTCTGTGGGGCGGGTGGCTCGGCAGGGCTGGCGGCTCGGTGGGGTATGTAACCCTCTGTGCTGTTGTCCAGCAGGGTAGAAAAGCGGAAGGTCACGGACCCCGTGGGAGCCCTGAAGGAGAAGTACCTGCGGCCGTCCCCGCTGCTCTTCCACCCCCAGGTACGTCCTCAGTGCAGACCAGGACGCCCTGTAACCCACATGCCAGGGGCCCCACCGCCCGGCTGCTGAGGCTCAGCGGCCAGGCTGGAGCCTGAGTTCCCATCCAGGCCACACCACGCACAGACGCCCTCAAAGGCAGAGAAGGATTCTCCCCCTGTGGCCCCTCAGGTCACTGTAGGCTGGAGAGGTTGAGGACTGAGAGCGATTCTCACGGGGCCGCCCCAGGGACCTCTCTGACCCCTGGCTCTGGGCTCCAGGAGGGAGAAGGAGCTTCACTGGAGTCGTGGGCAGAGCCTGGAGGATCGAGGGCAGGGATCGTGAGTGAGGGGAGCAGCCTCAGGTGGCAGCCCCAGGACACAGCGTGGGCGCTCTCTCCAGGGTGCACAGGACCTCAGTGTGTTCAAATGGACCAGAAGAGAGGAAGGGCCTGAGCATGCAGAGAGGGGCATGGAGCCAGGCCCCAGGGAGGCGGTGGGCAGGGGATCTGGAAAGAGACCCAGAGGGCCCCCCAGTCCGGACAGGCGGGTGCAGACCCTGCCAGGCCTGGAGTCGCTCCTGCCTGCCCCTGAGGCCACATCCTGGGAGCAAAATAGTGGGTGGGCAGCATGGCCAGGGCAGAGTCTCCCCAGTCTCCTGTCCCCTACTGACTTGGTCTCATTGCTGGGAGCCTGGCCCCTTCCGCAGGGCTGTGGGCTGCACCTGGAGGGCTGCACTCCGGGGGTCACGCAGTGGCCCTGGCCCTGACAGACCACAGACCAGGCCGGGGCATTGTTCTGTTTCTCAGCCTTCCCCGCTGTGGACGGGGCCCCCCACCCCCGGTTTGTGAAACCTGCACCCAGGCTGAGCCCGCTGTGGACGGGGCCCCCCACCCCCAGTTTGTGAAACCTGCGCCCAAGCTGAGTTCACAGCTAAACTTAGTGCCTCCCATTGTTTCCCCGGGGCCGTGGAGTTTGGTTAATAACTTCCCCTGATTTTCTTCGGGATGGGCTGGAAAGAGCCACGAGCCAGCCAGGCGCATCCTGTGTTTGTGTTTGTGCGGGGATCGAGGCCGGGAATATCTGATTGGGCGGAACAAGCCGGGCAGGAGAGGCCCACCCAGGCCCGAGGAAGGGAGCCTGGCGGGGGGCAGCTGCCATTGTCCCTCCTGCCTGCTGTCCCCACAGGCCTGCCACCCCCGTTGCCTGTCCCTGCAGCCCGGAGCCAGAGGTAGGGGTGGGAAGAGAGAGATGACTAATAAGTCACCAAATGGTCTAAGGTTGGGCCATCACTCGAGCAGAAGGCACCAGTTACTAATGGCCTCGACAAAGCCCAGGAGGCCATGACTGTGCGGAGACCTCAGTCCCGCTGCTCTGGGCTGCGGACGGGCTGGTGAGGTCCACTTGATGACTCAGAGAGCAGGGCAGCTTCGATCTGCCGATCACCGGTTCTCATCAAGATGAGAACATGCCCAGAGGTGGGAGAAGCCTGACCTCCACGGCCTGGGTGGGGCTGGAAGGGGCCAGAGGGACACTCGTGTCCGGCCACTGTGGACGGACACGAATGTCTACTTGTTCATTTCTTTCTGGGTATTTTTATTGTTACCAGTCAGTTGTTTCCCAAATAGCAAAACGTCCCCACTACGGAGTCGTGTGACCTCCGGGAGCATTTGTAGAAAGCCTTCTGCTCCCTACCAGGAGTGGTTGGATAAGTCCCTGGCAAGCAGGTCTCTGAAAAGCTGAGTGCCAGGTACTCGGACTCTGAGAGGCCCCAGCTGTGTGACGGGATAGTTTTGTTTGCCAGTGGGCAGCCAGGGCCAGGGTCTTGCTGTAAATGGGCAGGTCACCCCCATGGAGCTGGCTCTGAGCATTGCCCAGAGGCAGCGAGGCCCACATGAGGGCCCTGGATGAGGCAGGTCCCCACCTGCCCTTCTCCTCACCCCCACACCCATTCCGTGGAGACTGGGTGCCAAGAACCCACACCCTGGCCAGTTCCTCCCAGTGACACCAGCACCTAGGGAACCCCCAGGCTCTCCCTTCCCTCTGCATCTCTATCAGTTCCTGCCTCACCCTTGCCCTCCCTCACCATCCCCTTCTCTGGGAGCTCCCAGGGGAGGCGGGCTATGAAAATACCTGTTTAGCAAAGGTGTCTGGAGGCTGGAGGTGTGGTGCGGAGGCCCCGGGTTTGTTCCCTGTGTTGCCTTTTGCTACCCCTCAGGTGATGATGAACACTCTTCCTTTTCAGCCCCTACTCAGCCCCTACAGGGCCTGGCACACAGCAGGTATCACAGCCCGTCTCCTTCTCCATTGGGAGCTACTCCTTATTTTCAAAGAGAAAAGGAGCTGGGAGAGGCGGGGCTGACACTGAGCAGCTCCATCAGCCCAGCCCCTCCCCTCTCCTGTCACTATTGTCAGAGACCTCAGTGGGGCCAGGACAGTCTGGTATTCTGATCAGAGCTCTGCCCACTGGGTGAAAATGACCAATCCCATGCTTCCACTCTCCTAATCGAGCAAGCCCTGGGCATCTTCAGGGAGCAGAGAGGCAGCTCCTATTGCCCATATCAAATTGCCCTGTGTCATGTGACATTTGGCGTTATTATTTTGAATATTTCCTTTGTGGGATTAAGTCTTAAAGAGGCTGTTGAATTCCTTAGAACTTTGCCTGCAATTATGGCGTGCCACCACGTGGTGGCAGTGGTTCGGCAGGCCCACAATCTATGTTTTGAACTGAGATTCAGGTTGCTATTTTAATTTTTCAAGACTAAAAAATGAAATGTTTGATGTTAAACTAAATGTAATTCTACATTTAACCCAAACTAGCCAACCAGAAGTGCTGGCCAGGAGTCAAGTCAGCTGGGCATTTTGCCGGCCTGGGTCGGATAAGGGGTAATCATAAACATCAGCTATCCATTTCACTCAGGTCCTGCCCAAACCAGGCAGTGAGGCTGGTGGCTAAAGGTCAGTTTCAGCTCCTGCAGGCAAGACCTTAAACTATAAACGAGGGACTCAGGGAAGAACAAGAGCAGGGCTGGCTACAGAAAGGTGTAAGAATCCAACCCAGGGTCCAAGAAGATACTAGGAGACCATTGCTTCCAGTGCCCACCTGAGCACCCTAAGATATGCTGTTGTACAGAACCCCCAGCAGTGCATGCCCTTGAAAACAGGTGAGAGTCAGCTGAGTCCATAACCTCCCACTCTTATGCCTACAGATGTCAGCCATAGAGACCATGACGGAGAAGCTAGAGAGCTTTGCAGCCATGAAGGCCGACTCGGGCAGCTCCCTGCAGCCCCTCTCCCACCACCCCTTCAACTTCCGGTCCCCACCCCCAACGCTTTCTGATCCCATCCTCAGGAAGGGCAAGGAGCGATACACGTGCAGGTGAGGGGCCCTAGGGTGCTGCTGGGACAGCCCTGTTGGGGCTCAAATGCTACACCTGTGGCTGTGAACTTATGCTTCCAGGAAAAACTCAGAGTCCTGGCCACAGGAAAGCACAGCACCGTAATCAGTTGGTTATCTGCTTGAGGTCATGCTTTGCAAATAAGTGACATGGGTGGCCTCCCCTGCCTCACGCCATGCTGTGCTCATGTGAGCTCAAGAAAATGCAACCTCACCCCAGCTTAAACTGGGAAGGCTGGGGCTGGGGTGTGCTGGTCAGTGACTAACCTCAGTGCTTGGAGGGATGGGCAGTCCAGTGCTACAGCCTCAGCCGGTTTCTGCAGTGTCAGGATGACACCCTCCCAGCCACCCTGTGCTGGTGCAGGCCCGTCCAAGTCTCTGTTGGAGCCTGCACTGTCCAATGCCAGACTGAAGGGCCAGGTTGCTTCAGGGGACAGGGGCTGGTCTGTCTACTCCTGTGGCCCATGGCAGGCTGCTCTGTAACCGAGGCTGGGCTTCAGGGCTGTAGAAGAGACTGAAACCGGGATGCTGGGATGGGCCCACCTGTGCATCAGGTGTGAGACCCTGAGCATTAACATGAAACTATTTCTGGGAAATGGCCTTGTGAACCTGCCCTAATCCTCCCTCACCCTTCCCACCTCCCTCCACCCCAGGTACTGTGGGAAGATCTTCCCCAGATCAGCCAATCTCACCAGACACCTGAGGACGCACACTGGGGAGCAGCCGTACAGGTAGGTGCCGCCCGGGCCGGGTGTGGGGCGGGGCCACCTGCCTCCGTGCACTGCTGACCCACTTCTAGGAGTCAGTGTGCCCTTCCCAGGGCTCTCTGCTGGAGTGAGCAGGCAGTGGGTGGGGCCGGGTGCTCAATTCTGGTCATTTTGGCCCTCCCCTCCTGGTCTCACCAGGATGTTGTGAGGATGAGGCAGGAGGTGCCCAGGAACCTTCTGGAAGGCATCTGCCTGGCTCTCGAAGATGTGAGGGAGCAGCTCTCCACCCACCCTAGGGTGTCCATTGGGCAGGGGATCCCCATCAGAGCAGGGCTGAGCAGAGCCATGGCCCAGAGGGTCCACATGGGAGAAAACCTCAGCTTCCCCACCCCAGCCCAACTCCGTTCATCTCAGCTACAGCCATAGCTGCCCCCACACCCTCACCCCTGGTGGGCTAGGGAGTGGGCTAAAGGCAGGGTGGGACTCTGCACTTGGAGCCCACCAGGGATTCTAAGGGGTCCCAGGGACAGCCTGGATGGGAAGCGGTGCGTCTGATTCCAGGATCCCCCTGTGCTCCTCTCACCTGAGGAGCCGGCTGCCACCTGCAGAGAAGCAGTCACACAGCTCATCAGGATGGGGAAGGCATTGAATTTGGGGCTCACAACAGCCTCCCAACAGGCTTGTCATCCCGTTTCAAAGATGAGGGGCCCAAGGCTCAGAGATGTCCCATGAATCACCAGGGTCAGTGCCTGGGAGTGGGCATTTTAAGCGAGAGCCCCAGACAATGGTAACTGGGTGGCGAAGGAGGAAACGCTGGTTTTCTGCCAAGGTTGGTTTAGTGACACATGCAGGGTGTGTCTGTTCACAGAGGCCATTGGGGATAAAGAGTGTTTCACACGACTTAAGTTGACAGCGTAAGATTTCTGTCCTCTGGCCACACAAAGCTAGAGGGACCACATGATAATGCAAGCACTGGGGACTCCGTTTGTGTCTCCATCCCTGGGGAAGGAGACCAGCTGAGGCACCTGTGCATGTTTTGGTCACTGACCCCCACTCTGAGACAGAGCAAGCATCCCCGGCTGCTCCAGGGCTGTGTCCCAACTCGCAGGGTAAATGACAGCTCATACTACTTATAGGTCATCTGTTCAATGCTCACAGCCCTCCCCAACTCACAGGCCCCCCCTTGCCCACCCTTCAAAAAATAGTGACTTACAACTTAACAAAGGCTAGCAACAGAAAGATTTATTTGGTCTGGTCCCCTCCCAGAAAATGAGCTGTGTGTTTTTTCTGTAATGAGAGCCGACTTCTGGACAGCGTTGTGTGCTAAGAGCCCCTAGAGGGTTGGGGTGGTGTTTATAGAAGAATTTAATTATCATTGATTTCTTTTGCTCTCTCCAATCTGTGAGTTTCGACTTTGGTAACAATAATTGCTTTGCAAGTTTGTGTTGCAAATCCTGACTTTATCTGGCTCAAGGCAGGTCTGTGCCGAGGGGTTTGGAGCGTGTAGCTTTCCTTTTGATACCACTGGCTTTGATAATCTGGTTTCTGGACTGGCTTTGATAATCAGAAGGATTTTAAGTTGGAGGAGGGAAAGTGCTGGCCATCCCCAGAAGCCCGCCAAGTGGAGCCCAAGCCCCCCATGCCCACCCCAGTGTGAGCCCCTTCCCGGTGCCAGCACCCACGCGTGTGCCCGCCGCATGTGCGTATGTGTGTGCCCTGGAGAAGTCGGGCTGACGCAGCCCCACGCAAGCAGGAGGAAGCGGGCTTCTCATGGGTTGCCTAGAGCGATCGGGTAATCAAACCAGATGACATTGAAAGCCTCTTCCGTTTAGGTCCTTGCCTCAAATGACCTGAAATCATTCAGAATGTGTTTCAAAGCCCTGAGGTAGGGAACGTAGAGCCTTTGGTGCACCAAATGCATTTCCTGGAGGTAACTTGGCCCCTAGCTTCTCCTGGCCTCGAGGTCTTTGAGTGAAGTGGGAAGGTGAGATTCAGTTAATGTCACTCTTATTTCTTAAAAATAAAAATAAAGCACGTAGGCTTTGTGGGATTTGGGTTGGAGAAGCATAAACATTGAAATGGGAATGGGGAAGGGGGCTGCTCCTTGGTCTTCATCCTGACGGCCGGCCGGGAGGTCTCTCTGAGATGATGCCCAGTGGAGCCTGGAGTCACACCCTGGATGCGAGCCTGCTCGGGCTGCCCAGGACTCCTGCCGGGACCCGAGATTCCCGCCTCAGGGCTGCTGGCTCCCTGGTCTGCCGTGTGCTTCCGTCATCCCCCCAGGCTCAGTCCTGCCTTCTGTGTGAAGCTGGATCATGCAAGGGCGGCATAGTTGTGCTTCCATCGGGGGCTGCAGGTGGCCCATGCCTGTCCTTTCCTTTTTAGTTTTATTTTTACGGCTGGGTTTCAAAATACCTTCTTTCTTCCCCTTCCCTCCCTTTTACAGTCACCAAAAGCAGTTCCCCCTGTAGTGGTTGCAGGAGACCCCACTGGATCCCAGGAAGGATGCTGCTGCCCAGGGCTCAGGGGCTCGGGGGCCCTGGCCACCTCCCTGTGACCTGCCCATGCTCTGTTGTCCCCCTGCCAATGGCTTCCCTGGGAGTGCGGCAGGCACTGTCACAGCAAGGTCCTCTCAAGGCCTTCCGCAGTGCGCTGGGGCCAGGCTACCCTGCACATTCTCCTTCCTTTTGGAGCTCACAGGCGTGTTATTTTACACAGTGAGGCCATCAATTTCACCGGCCGCTTGTCAGCTTATTTACAACGCAGACCCCAGCTGCTCAGAGAACTCTGCTCCCTTGCAGCCCTGGGCTCACAGCTCCCCTAAATTTCAAATGGACTTCTCTCTCTGGGCCATTTATTTAGATTAGAAGCAAGAGAGGGCCACGTTCAGGGCTCTCTGCAACCAAATAGAATGCACAGCCCCGTCCGTGGCTCTCCCCGGCCCCAGAACTTCACACAAGGGACTTGCTCTCCAGTTTCATGAACAAGCTTCTTTTCCAGTCCCGTTTCCCACCTCGGATCCCCAGTTGCGGGGTTTACACAGGAGCCATTAGGTGGAGTTTCTGCAAAGGTCGCTGCATTTCCAAAGAAACCAGGAACTGAATGAGCTGTGTGTGAGCACACATTCAGACAGACAAGCAGACACACTGGCAGGCAGACAGGCAGGCGGACAGACAGGCAGACGGGCAGAC